TCTCCATCCTCTGACTATTTCAGTTAAGAGATTTTCCTAGACCCTATATCATGCCTGAAATAGTTACTGGATGTCTTTAAGTGCAAGTCCTATTACCAGAAAATAATTGGGGGACTGGGAGGAATCTAGTTCACTATAAGTTTCAGTTAAAAAACCCCGAAAAGCAAAACACAGCAGAGCTCTACTTAAAACTGGTTTCTCTGGGGAAAGGGAATTTTTGTCTTTCTTAGGTTTCCTGGGATAATCACACATTTCTAAGTATTCATTTATTAAAAATATTTTCTCAGTATAGTATCCTCATACAGTTAGAAGATTTAATATTTACTTAGTATTCAGATTGAATACTAAAAGTAAGTTCTCGAAGTTTCCTAAGTTATATCCAAAATGTGTCTCTCCACTGCAATAAACATAGAAAAGACAGATGGATTTGAGTGACGAAACACGTTTCTACCACCAACGCTTCAACTTTGAGAACGTATGGTCCAGAGTTAATTTGACACTCTGATGAGATCGTACAAAATACATGCTCTCTCAACATTAAATGCAAGAAAAAGGTTTCTGTAAAAGTTATTGATCCTATAAAAATTGGTCTGCATCAAATGTTAAGGAAAAGAGGAAATACAGGACTTCCATATTTCCAAAATGTGTTATACCCATTGAGTAAGGGCTGAAATTTTACCCACGGGAGACAATGACTTTTTCACCTAAATGGGATATTATCACTGAAAATAGACAAGCAGTTTAAAAAATTTAAACAAAAATCAGCTGATCTATATGCTTCTATTTGGGTATATGCCAGGTTTTTCCTTCCCTAGGGCTCTAGAATTAGGTGAAAGAATAAAACAATAAGAAACATAGCTTTGAGGGAAGCATACTTAAAAGTCTTCATAAAATTAATGAAAATACCATTTGTAAGGCTGTAATGCCTCTTCCTTCTACAAGTAATTTAAAAAACAATGGTGATAAATAGTAACCATGATTAGTGATCACCAGCAAAATCTCTATTTAATAAATTTGGGAAAATTCCTCAATTTGTTTTTATGATTATTCAAAATGCTGTATGCATAGATGTCGCGATGTATGTCATAGGAAATATTATAGCTTTGAAATATTTACAAAGGTCATTTTAAAACCAGTTATAAACCAACTCAAGAGCTTTTTTAAATATCTTAATCATATTGTCAGAGGAGCTGGAGTGGAACATAGAATAACACAGTTCTCCCCTCTTCTCTTTACCCACATCTAGGGAAGAAGGTTATGGGATAATAAAGGCTGAAACAATGGAACAGCTGGAGGCTGTGTAGGCTTTCTAAAATGGGAACAATGGCCAGTGACGAATGAGAAGTTTACGTGACACCGTGGGGACATTTGCAGGCAGCATGGATGTGGACCTTGGCGGAGGGTTCTTTCCAAACATGCTCACCAAGAAGTGTAATAAAATTAATAGAAAGCCACAGAGGGGTTCATTACATTCTCTAGTTTTGTACACATTTGCTATTTGCC